TTTATTCTACAAAGAATATATAAAATGCCATTTACAAAATTTTGTTAACAATCAATCAAAATATTAGCTATCAATACTTTTTGTCAACTTTTTTTTTAACAAGATGCAACAATTTGAAACATTTTAATTGTCGTTATAAAAATACATCAAATGAAGATTGATTTAAAATTTGGTTTGTGTTTGCATTTAGGTAAAATTTAGTTTGTAATAAGTTAGGAAAGTTAATCTTGACTAAGTAACAGCAAAGTTTGAGTTACTAATACAAAAACAAGTGACCGGATCTGACTTGAGTAAATTTTCCGGGTTGTTAGCTAAGCAAATAGTTTGGGTTCTTACCTGCATTTTGGAAGAATGAAAACATATTCAGACTTGCTATAAATTTTCTGATTAGTTCCCTAATCGTGGCGTAAACTTCAACAATTAATTTTCAATCCGGCTTTTTCACATGATAGCATCAGTATAGATTTTAATGAGGGCTAAACGGAGCAAAATTAAAATAGGGGTGAATCACGATTGGCGAAATAAAGTTGTAATCGAGTGGGATAATAGGGGAAACTTGAGTTACCTGTGCATTTAAATAGCCCTCATCGCAAATAAAGCTGATCCTTTCTAAAATGTTTGACTAAGTCCCGTGTTAAAAAAGCTCGAACAATGATATGTTATACCCGTTTGTAATCTTCTTAGCGGTTCGTAGCTAGTAAATTTCAGAATGCTAAATTAATAACGTTGTAATACATGTCAAAGTTCATAGTGGATTAGTATTCAATTTGCATAAATAAATCTATACGCGGGCTGGACATGTCAAAGCTTTTAAACACACAAGGCACCACTATGAATACCAATTTCAGGCACGGAACTAAAGTTAGTCCTCGAACACACCTCACAAAAGAGAATCATTCGTTGGTTAAACATGTTACAAATTACTAGCTAATCTTATTGCAATACAACGTTTTGACCGCATCATATGTAAATTCAAGAGATGATCAAAGAAAATCTGTGTTGTTTTTGTTCTCTATTTAAAATTATTTGTTTCAGGCGAATCGGATTCTAAAGTTGATTCAGTCAGTGATAGCGAAATGGTTGAAGAAAGCATCGAAGATTTGAATGATACAAGACCGAGAAAAATTCGAAGATCACGAACGACTTTTACCACTTATCAATTGCACCAATTGGAGCGAGCTTTTGAAAAAACTCAATACCCTGATGTTTTTACCCGAGAAGAATTGGCAATGAGGCTTGATTTGAGCGAAGCGAGAGTTCAGGTGAGTTAATTATTGAAATTTCCACTGACGACAAACAAATTTCTAATAACTCATGGAAGTTTTTTATAAAAACAAGTTAATTAAATAATGTCCTAGTTAATTTACTCCGTATCAATTATAATATTGTCAGGCAATCTATAAACATTATTTATTCATTAAGCAATCAACTAATTTTATCTATTAATTAGGGAAACATTTCATTTTCGCTCAGAATATTATACAATGGAAACAAAAATCTCAACAACTTAATAACGAAATTAAAAAATTACTGCGCTATTACACCGTCAGTCTTGAGTTTTAATGGTCCAATTATCAAATTACGTTTTATTGTTTCGGAGTTTCGCGTCAAATAAGCATGGAAAAAAGCAATTCGAGCATGTAGAAAGAAATTGATGTGGCGAAGCTTAAAGCATGGCTAAAAGGGCAATTAGAAGAGGCACAGCTTTCCATCATTTTATCTATGAAGCGAGGAGGCACTTTAAATGAGACATCAGAGAGAATTCTGGGGTCCGGAACCGGTTCCGATTACCTCTATTGTGGCGAACAATGCCCAATTGCGACGCTACTTACGCTGTTACAAGCTAGATTAATTATCCAAATTGTTACCAATTAAGATGCAATTCATGATGGCCATTATCCTGGCATTAACGATTTTATCCAGAACCATCTAACGCAGATTTGCAACGAAACTCGACGAATTTTAACAGATTCGGACAATTTAAACTTATTGCTCATTCACTATTCCAAAAATTATTTTTTGTGCTTGATTTTTGATTTTCTATTTTTTACTCTCATAAAGGATATTATGGAATTGCAAAATCTGTTAAATAACAAAATTATTTAATTCATGAAGCTTAAAATATGAACTTTTGTTTGTGAAGTTACTCTTAATAAAGTTGCGAAATCTGTTAAATAAAAAAAATTGATTTAATTCATAAAACTCAAAATAACGCAGATTTGCAACGAAACTCAACCAATTTTAACAGATTCGGACAATTTAAACTTATTGCTCATCCATTATTCCAAAAATCATTTTTTTATATTTTTTGTGCTTGACAGAAACAGTAGTGGAAAAACATTAACACTAAAAAAATGATGATTTTAGGCAAAAATTTTTACTCTTAATTTTTTTAGTTTTCTATTTTTTACTCTCATAAAAATATTACGGAATTGCAAAATCTGTTAAATGAAAAAATGATTTAATTCATAAAGCTTAAAATATGAACTTTTGTTTGTGAAGTTACTCTTAATTAAAATGCAAAATCTGTTGAATAAAAAAAATTGATTTAATTCATAAAACTCAAAGTAACCTAGATTTGCAACGAAACTCATCCAATTTTAAAAGATTCGGACAATTTAAACTTATTGCTTATCCGTTATTCCAAAAATCATTTTTTTATATTTTTTGTGCTTAACAGAGTGTGGTGGAAGAGTGGCGGAAAAACATTCAAACACTAAAAAAGTTATGATTTCAGGCAAGGAATTCAGTTAATTTTTACTCTTAATTAATTATTGATTTTTTTATTTTCTATTTTTTACTCTCATAAAGGATATTACGGAATTGCAAAATCTGTTAAATAAAAATGATTTAATTCATGAAGCTTAAAATATGAACTTTTTTTTGTGAAAATCTGTTAAATAAAAAAAAAGATTTAATTCATGAAACTCAAAATATGAATTTTTGTTTTGTATTTTTTGATGCAGTGTAAAATATGGAAGTTACTCTTAATAAAAATAATTTGAGGATAAGCCTAAGATAATTATGGCAGTAATTATTATTGGTGTAATTTCTTTGTTATTGGTTTAATTAAATATTGAATACATAATACCGTGAGATCAAAAATAATCTTGGTCAAGGGTGGTCATGGATTTTAAAATAATTATCGTAGATTATGTCGATGCTGTCAGTAAATCAATCATTAACAGAATTATTTCAAAAAGATGATATAAGCAAAGCCAGACGTTATAAATGGTTATAAATGATTTTCATCAAACCAGCTTTGGAATTTTTTTGCATGTAACTTTATTTGTGCCGCTCTACTTTTTTTGAAAGCTCTAGTTCTGTCATTAGTGTCACTTATTAATTAATAATAAATTGTTGTTAATTAAACTTATATTGTTTCAACAAATTTCCAATAATAATTGATAATAATGTATACTTTGGAAGAAAACGAGTCTATTTTCGAAGTGGACGCTTAGTAAATGGCGATTTTTTAATTTTGAGTTAAAACAAGTAGGTAGCCCTATTTTCGTAAAGCGGCATTTTTTATTTTACATGGAAAATTTTTTATTTACACTTTGTATAATATAATACGGCTTATCTCTTCACTCTTGTTTAATTACAAGTTAATTGTAAGTAATAATATGGTTTATATTTTTTTTATTAAAAAATAGCGTCTTTTTTTCGTTTTAAGTTTTTTAAGTTCAAATTAAAAAGAATACATTTTTTCAAGAGTTTCAAATGTTTTTGTGTACCGATCTTCTATTTTTACAAAATTTAAACTAAAATTAACAATATTTTACACTTTTTATTTTTATAGTATGTGCAAAAAAAACTTGAAACTAAATTCAATTATTTTTAAACTTTCTTGTTTGCCATAGCGGGTAGTAATAAATTAGTAATATTAAATTTGCAATAAATATCAAAAACATCATGAAGGCAATTTTTTTTTCTACATATTTTGGAATATACTGATGACAGATAAGTTTTTTTGTTCTTTTATTTCACATCTTTGTGACACGTAAGTATAATTCCGAAATTGTGATAGCGTGCATGTTTTCAAGTTCAAATTAAAAAGTATACATTTATAATTTTATTTTTCAAGAGTTTTAAATGTTTTTGTGTACCGATCTTCTATTTTTACAAAATTTAAACTAAAATTACCAAGAACTTGTGATGCTTTTTTCTGAAATATATAATCAATAATATTTTACACTTTTATTTTTATAGTAGGTGCAAAAAAAATTGAAATTAAAAATCAATTATTTTTAAACTTTTTTGTTGGCTATAGCGGGTAGTAATAAATTAGTAATACATAAGTAATAAATATCAAGAACATCATGAAAAACTTCTAAGGCAAATTTTTTTTCTACATAAATATTTTAAAAATACTGATGACAGATAAGTTTTTTTGTTCTTTTATTTCACATCTTTGTAACATGTAAGTATAATTTCCGAAATTTTGATAGCGTGCATGTTTTCAAATAAATTGTAAAATCATTCATTATTAGAAAATTTACTTTTAGCTACAGAATGTTATGTTTGGTTGTAAAAACACGTTTATTATTATTTAAAAATCTTTTCGTAGAAATAGTATTCTATAAACGAGAAGGGTAATATGTCATTATTCTGATATGACTGAAAGGCACAGCCTCAAGGCGTAATGAATTTCTGCAGAGGTTTGTATGCTATTTAATTTTCAATTACATTTTGTTTAAATAATAAAATAGTTGTTTTTTTTGTTGATGCATTATTTACCTAGTTGGTATCTATGCAAACAAAATACGTTTTTAACGACCAAGAGATGCAATGTCATTCTTCTACTCTCAAAAAGTTAGGAATAGGGTGCGCCAGAACTCGCGCCCCAGAGAAAAATTTTAAGTATGATAAGCTACCAAAAAAATGAAAAAATTGTATCTGTCAAAAAATTTTGACATTTATTTTTTTGAGATTTAACATTTTTTATTCTACTTAATAAAACTGATGATCTTGTGTATGTTAATTTATAATTATTTAGCAAAAGTACAAAAATTTTGCTAATAAAAGCCACAAATAACATTAAACAGAGTTACAATTTAGAATACAACTTCCTTGTATCCTCTTCTGATAGCCTGTAGCAAAAAACTTGGAAAATTATTTTTTCAACAAAAATAAAGTCAAAGTGCAAAATTTGAACTCACATAACTTTGAAATTTGTATAGATAGATTTTTTTAACATTTTTTCCATGTTCAGAGTGTCTTACTTTACATTTTTCTCTAGGGCGCGAGTTCTGGCGCACCCTGTATGTACGTTATTTTTGTATTAAAACACAAATTGTTGATGTGATTTAAGTAAAAAAATGTCTGAAACTTAATTCTGTAATAAAATAATAAAAAAAATTAAATAAAATAAAATGAAATTATGTACTTATACCTTTATAGAAAGAAATAAAATACTTTTTGAAAGGCTGTAACTCATCGGAAAATGGTCATATCTAGATTTAAAAGAAAACATTTTAAAGCTTTAAATTTCTAGTTTTGAGATTTTTTGGCAAATATCTTTTTTTTGTGCTACGGTTATCACGCAATTTTAAGCAATAGCGCCAGAAAAAAAAATTTTGTTGTAGATTTTTTTTTTAGTTAAGTCAATGCATAGGCCAAATAGCATGTTTGTTTACCTTTAATGTGCAAAATTTAAACTCTCATAACTTTGAAATTTTTATAAAGATTTTTTTTAACATTTTTTCCATGTTTTTGCTATCTTACTTTTTCTCTACATTACTACTATGTGAAAAAAGGGATTTTACGTTTTTCTTTTCGTTTTCATCTTTGTTATGTAAGTTTAAATCATTTTCTGATTTTTTGTTATATTATTTAGATAAAATATTTGTTTTGTAAAAGTGAATTAAGTAGGATAAATTATTATGAAATCAGTTATTGTTGAGCTCGATTTAAGTTATGATTAGATTTATTTGTTCTTCAGGTTGTGATTAAGATGGATATCAATTTCTCTGGATTATGTGGTACAAAAACGAGTACAAAAATGAGTTAAATGATAAATTGTTAAACAATATTGGGTATTGGGTAAAATTTAGTTTTTACTTTAAAAATATGAGTTATGAAAATAAAATTGGTCACAATTGCTGAAACCAGGTATTCCTTTCCAGGTGTGGTTTCAAAACCGTCGCGCCAAATGGAGAAAGCGTGAAAAAGCCTTAGGCCGAGAAGCCGTCCCGTTTATGCACCCTGGCGAACAACCCGGTTTGCCCGAGTTTTCGCTTCACGGGCACATGACAATGCCCCCCATGGGCCCCACCGACTCTTTTTGGCCCAGTTTGCCCTTCCCGCCCATGTTCAGTCCCGCCATGGGTCTGCCTTGGCCGCCAAAGACGCCCATGAACGTACCCACGTTCCACGCTTTCCTGTCGCAATACGTGCTCGCCGGGGGAGTCCCCCAACTGAATCTCTTGAATAGTGGGATTCCGGACGAGAGGTCTCGGAGTTCTAGTCCGGAAACTCCTAGTCCGTCGCAGTTATCGCCCTCGGCACTCGAAGCTTTGAGGTTACGGACTCAAGAAATTTTAGTGCCGAGTTCTTCACCGCAAAAACTACATGCAAAGTCATAGACGAGGGGTTGTAAATATGTAGTGGATGATGTGTAGTGATAATTGTTAGGAACTTAGGACATTATTGGCGCTTAAAATGTGGGGGAAATAGACTGAATATTTGTATGACCAAGTTGTACCAAGTTTTTGATTTAGCTATTATTTCAAAGAATATAATTATTTCGTTTTTTATTATTATTATTATTATAGGGAGAGTTATTTTTGTATGAAATTTATTTACTATAATAGTTGCAGGTTTAGTTAGTTTGTGATAGATTCTTAGCGCCAATTTTGTACATAATTTTGTATATAAACTGCTTATTTATTTATTGTAGATAAAACTCAGAGAAAATTCAAGAATTCTGTTTAAAACATTAAAATAGCGTTACAGATAATTATTTTGTGGGGAAAAATTAACAATAAGTTGTAATAGTTATGATCGATATTAAATGAAACAATAATTAAAATGGCAGGTGTTTTACTTGTCTTGGTTATCAAAAGTTTATTATCAATAAGTAATAATCTACTTAATTATGGTGTGTTTATTGATTCATCTACCTTGTAAAATAACCATTATTACATTGATGTTTACATAGAAATGATTGATAATATTATAAAATTGTAATAATAACATTTTAACAAATATATGAAAATGTTAATATTATTTATGAGTACATTTATTTACTTTATTCAAATAAAAGTTTTCTCTGATCAGTTAACACAAATACCTAGAACACCTTCCTTAGTATACAGGGTGTGTCAAAACTCGCGCCCCAGAGAAAAATTTCAAGTAAGAAAAATTGTTTAAAAAATCCTATCCGTTAAAAATTTTTGACATTTGACATTTTTTGTCTATTTAATGATATGAAAATTTAGCCAATAATGGCTACAAATAACATTGAACAGAGTTACAATTTAGGATACAGCTTCCTTGTTTCCTCTTTTAATAGCCTATAGCAAAAAATCTTGGAAAATTATTTTTTTAGGAAAAATAAATAAAGTCAAAGTGCAAAATTTAAACTCTCATAACTTCGAAATTTGTATAGATAGAATGTTTTTAACATTTTTTTTTCATGTTCCTGGTATCGTACAATCAGCGTAGAAAAGATTGTCCTCCTAATAAAGCGCGCGGATCCATAAACCACAACAATAAATCTTTTCCATTGTAAACGTCATTTCTTATTCAACAGTATATTTAGTTTGAAGTGAAACTCAGTTACCGATTTTATTTTCAATTGAGTAAAGAACAAAGTATTTAAAAACCTTCAGAGCTTTACTGCAACTTAAAATTAAAATAAAAAATTATTTTAATTGCTGTTTAATTAGTTATTTATTTACTAAGTTAACAAATAAATGCCAATTTAAATGGCAAAATTAAATAAACAATATTGTTATTAGAAATACCTAATAAAAACTATTACTAGGAATCCAAATCTAACCTGAGACTATTTAATATCACTCTTTAAAATATTGACACTTACATATATATTTTTTTTGATAAAGTTGTAAATAACAAATTAAATAATTTTATTATTAATTTTTATTCAATTCAACAGGTAGACGTGCTGACTTTTTGAACTCGTGGGAACCTTTACCAAAAAAAATATTTAAATTGAACTATTGAGATGTTTACAACCAAGATATTGCAATCGTAACAATTTGTTTTTGCTAAAAATTGTTCAGTTCAGTTATTTTATTAAAACTTCTAAATTAATCATCAATTTTTATTTTTGTTTATTTTTGAGTATTAAAAAAAATCATAGCCATTGGAAAACTGTCTACTCTATTAATAAACAAACTA